TCATCCCAGTCCCTACCGGTACACTTCCTTTGTTTGTTAATTTCTAACACACCACTGTTTTCTGTTAATTTACTATATTGCCCCAAACAAAGGGGAGGTTTAGGTCTCCCACATCTACACTTGTATTTATGTAGCTGCTCAATTAGCTCAGATAGTGACATGGCCCTCTCCCCCAGACACACACAAATGGATAGATCTGTAATTGCTGTTGATGGTATCTGATCTGCCCCAATTTTGGATATAAGTACCTAAACCAGTGATGGCGAACCTATGGCATGCGTGCCACAGGTGGCACGCCGAGCCACCTCTGTGGGCACGCAGCCACAGGTCGCCGGAGGGAGGGTGCGCTCCGCCGGCGCATCCATAAGGCGGCACAAGTGGCTTTGGGTGCACCGTCCCGGCGGGCGCAAAACCGGAGTGACCGGCAGGAGGTGAGCGCATAGTGCTCCCTCCTGCCAGGCACTCTGTCTAGCGTGGCCGAGCGCGCCGCGGTAAAGGAACTTATGTTTCCTGTACCCGGGCGGACGGAAATAAAGTGCTCACAGAGAGAGCACCTCCTGTCCGGCCGGGTACAGGAAACTGAGCTCCGCGGTGCGCTCAGCCACGCTACAAGCTAGGAGATCAAGGACAAGTGGGAAATGAAAACTAAGGAGTGGATGGGGTAGAAAGAAAATTGAAAGGGGAATAAAACTGAGGGAGAGATGGGAGGGGGGAAGAAAACTGAGGGAGAGATGGGGAGGAAGAAAACTGAGGGAGAGATGGGGAAGAAAACTGAGGGAGAGATGGGAGGGGGGAAACTGAGGGAGGTATGGGGGGATAAAACTGAGTGTGGGATGGGGGGAAAGAAAACAGTGGGGGGAGGGGGGACAACATACACACAGCACCCCTGCCCTACACATATCACCCCACACAAACACACACACATCACCCCACACAAATACACACACATCACCCCACCCACACACACCACACACACACCACCCCACATCACCCCACACACAAACACATCATCCCACACACAAACACATACACTGTACCCCTCAATGCAGTGTGTGTACACTCAGCAGTCTGTCTGTGTGTGTACACTGAGCAGTCCGTGTGTGTGTACTCAGCAGTCTGTGTGTGTGTGTGTGTGTGTACTCAGCAGTCTGTGTGTGTACTCAGCATTTTGTGTGTGAGTGTGTACTCAGCGGTCTGTGTGTGTACTCAGCAGTCTGTGTGTATTTAGCAGTCTGTGTGTGTGTACTCAGCAGTCTGTGTGTGTGTATTTAGCAGTCTATGTGTGTGTACTCAGCAGTCTGTGTGTGTATTTAGCAGTCTGTGTGTGTGTACTCAGCAGTCTGTGTGTGTGTATTTAGCAGTCTATGTGTGTGTGCTCAGCAGTCTGTGTGTGTGTGTATTTAGGAGTTTGTGTGTGTGTGTACTCAGCAGTCTGTGGGTGTATTCAGCAGTCTGCTAAATACAGACAGACTGCTAAGTACACAGACAGACTGCTAAATACACATACAGACAGACTGCCGAGCACACACACACACAAACTGCTTAATACACACACAGAGATGTTAATTAGTTCGGACAACTGTATGAGTTGTTTTTTCTAAACTTAAACCTCAGTATTCAGGTTTAATTGCCGTTTTGGCACTTTGAGGGGAAAAAAATTGGCATGTATTACGGTTTGGGCACTCGGGCTCAAAAAGGTTCGCCATCACTGACCTAAACCATATAGACCTTTTATAACAACTGAATGCCTGGCCATTTTGAGTTCAGTTACATATGCTCATATTTATGATTTTGACAATATAAGTGTTGTGATACGTTTTACTGTTTTGAAACACTAATATTTGTGTTCAGTGAAGTCTCCTGAGTATAACAGTACCCCTCATGTACAGGTTTTATGGTGTTTTCAAACGTTACAGAGTCAAATACAAGGCTTGCGTTTCAGTTTTTTCACATTGAAATTCGCCAGGTTGGTTACCTTGCCTTTGAGACCGTATGGAATGAAAATTACCCCCACGATGGCATACCATTTGCAATAGTAGAGCAAATCTAGTAAGGTAAATGGGTATGTCTGCTTTTTAGTACTTAATTGTTAAACACGCTGTACCCTCATGCTCAAATTAGTTTTGCATTTTTCACACACAAAACAAATACAATACCTAACTTTGGCTAAAGGGGCGTTTGTGACCAAGTGGTTACTAAAAGACTGGACATACCCTGCATTTGCAATAGTAGACAACCCAAGGTATTGCAAATGGTATGCCATCATGGGGGTAATTCTGATTTATGGGCTACCATACGGTCTCAAAGGCAACATAACCAATCTGGTGAATTTCAATGTGAAAAAACTGAAAAATGTTACATACTATATTTGACCCTGTAACTTCTCAAAACACCATAAATCCTGTACATAAGGGGTACTGTTTTACACGTGAGACATCGCTGAATACAAATATGTGTATTTTATTGCAGTAAAAGCAAGCAGTATTATGACATTCACAGTTAGAACTAAACTTTATTTTTATTTTTATTTTCTCCCATTTTTTTTATATTTTCTTCATATTAACCCCTTAAGGACGGAGCCAAATGTACACGTTGTGAACAAAACAAAATGTAAACAAAACCTGGCATTTGCGCTACATGTCTGTCCAACCGTAATACACCTCTTTCATAGTAAATGCACCCACTCTTATTATATATCATTTTATTCAGGGGAAACAGGGCTTTCATTTAATATCAAATATTTAGCTATGAAACATAATTTAATATGAAAAAAATGGGAGAAAATACGATTTTATTGGATTTTTTAGTTCTACATGACAATTAAACGGTCAGTGTCATAATACTGTTTGCTTTTACTGCAATAAAATACACATATTTGTATTCAGCAAAGTCTCACGTGTAAAACAGTACCCCCTATGTACAGGTTTTATGGCGTTTTGGGAAGTTACAGGGTCAAATATAGCACGTTACATTTGAAATTGAAATTGGCCAGATTGGTTACGTTGCCTTTGAGACTGTATAGTAGCCCAGGAATGAAATTTACACCCATAATGGCATACCATTTGCAATAGTAGACAACCCAAGGTATTGCAAATGGGTATGTCCAGTCTTTTTTAGTAGCCATTTGGTCACAAACACTGGCCAAAGTTAGCGTTAGTATTTGTTTGTGTGAAAAATGCAAAAAACACCAATTTTGGCCAGTGTTTGTGACTAAGTGGCTACTAAAAAAGACTGGACATACCCCGTTTGCAATACCTTGGGTTGTCTACTATTGCAAATGGTATGCCATCATAGGGGTAATTTTCATTCTTGGGCTACTATAGGGTCTCAAAGGCAACCTAACCAATCTGGCAAATTTTAATGTGAAAAAAATGAAACACAAGCCTTATATTTGACGCTGTAACTTTTGAAAACACCATAAAACCTGTACATGAGGGGTACTGTTGTACTCGGGAGACTTCACTGAACATAAATATTTGTGTTTCAAAACAGTAAAAAGTATCATAGCAATAATATTGTCCGTTTAATGCTGTTTGTGCGTGAAAAATGCAAAAAACGTCACTTTTACTGGCGATATCATCGTTGTAATACATTTTAATGTTTTGAAACAATATTTGTGTTCAGCGAAGTCTCCCGAGTAGAACAGTACCCCCCATGTACAGGTTTTATGGTGTCTCGGAAAGTTATAGGGTTAAATATAGTGCTAGCAAATTAAATTCCCTTTACTTTCAGCATGGGTTGTCATGCAGGTCCTGCTAATTGTAATTAATTAAGATACCTAATTATGTAAAAATATTACATAAATATATATGTAGAATCAATATATGTATATATATACGTATGTGTATATATATGTATATATGTATATAATTTTTTTTAAATATTTTTATTTATATATAGGTATATATATAGTGATATATACGTATATATTTATGTGTATAAATATATATATTATTTCGTTCTATGTGTATTTTGATATATATATAAATATATTAATTTCACAATACAGTTAGAACGAAATAACACACATCTATATATTTTTTAATTATTTATTTTTAATTATTTTTGTAATTTTATTTTTTAACGCATTTACATTTTAATTTTTTTTATAATATATATAACAATAATTATATATATATTTAATCAGTATCAGTGTACGTGTAATTTGATATTAATATATATATATATATATAATAGTAAAATACACCTAGACGGTGTACATGTGTGTATGTATATGTGTATATATATATATACTTTGATCATATATATATAATATATATATATGATCTAAGTATATATTATTTATTTTTTTACACTATTTATTTATTTCATTTTTATTTTCAGCCAGCAGGGGGACCACCTGTCATTACAGGCAGCCCCCCTGCTGGCAATAGAGAAGCCAGCTATCCCCGGCCATGTGATTGTGGGGTCCTCGCTAGGACCCCCACTCTCACACGGCCGGGGGGCTTCCTGGAGGACGGTCGTGCCGCGGGGGGCTCCCTGGGAGTCCCCCCCACCGCGATCGCCGGCGTGGGACCGCCGGCGACCGGGTAAGTACAGAAAGACCGGAGGGCGTACTATTACGCCCGGCGGCGTTTAGAGCCGCCTATTAGAGGACGTAATAGTACGCCCTCCGGTCTTAAGGGGTTAAATTATGTTTCATACCTAAATATACGATGTTAAATGAAAGCCCTGTTTCCCCTGAATAAAATGATATATAATAAGTGTGGGTGCACATAATATGGAAAAGGTGAATTACGCCTGAACAGACATATAGCGCAAATTCCAGTTTTTATTTACGTTTTGATCACAATGTGTACATTTGGCTCAGTCCTTAAGGGGTTAATATTAAATTTCACAGAGTAATATGAATACAAAATAAAGCAGAGGTCTCGGTCACTAGGCTGGACAGTTTGTCACCCCTTAGTCACATTATGGTCACAATGCTGTGTATCTTTTTACTACAATAATGTGGATTATGACACAGTTATAACTACAGAACCTCCCCCCCCCCCCAAAGCGAGGCTTGACACGCAAACTCAGTCCACGTTCCACACTTGTCCCAGCCGTCCAATGACAGAGCGCCGTTGCTGTCACGTGCTCGTTGTTTTTGAAAACAGAAGCCAGCTGTCAGGACGGAGCGAGAGACCGAGCCCCAACTGCGGATCATGTCGGCCGACCTGGAGAGCCTGGTGGACTTCGAGCGCGACCACTACGACCAGTATGAATATTACAACCTGCAGGACTACGGCTGCGGGGCCGGGGGCAAGGGGAGAACCAAGAGAGAGATCGAGCTGAACGGGAACCGCCATGTCCCGGCCGGGCACGAGAGGAAGATCGAGGAGAAGCTGCACAACAGCGAGATCAAGAGGAGGAGCAGGAGCTCGTCTCACTGACAGCCGGCCACACCGCCGCCGCCGCCTCCTCCTCCAGGTACCTGTCCTCCCGTGTGAGCCTCCTGCCAGCAGACACGGGGTAGGGGGAGGGGGCTAACTAGCTCTGCCGATGTAGCCTTTTAGGCTTAACTATAAAGGAACACTCTAGGCACCATGACAACTTAATTTACACGATGTTGTTTTGGTGCCTAAACTGTCTCTTTAACTCTGTAAGTCAATGCTTATTTAAACTCTTTACATGAAGAGGTTAAACTGCACTCTGTAGATAAAGTGAAATGCACCTTTTTTTTTTTTTCTTCCTATTTTGTTTTCCTGGCACTATAGTGGTCCTTTAAATTATTTTGAGGGATGAAGTCCCTGGGCAAAGTCTTATTTTAAAGCAATTGCCTGCCTCTGCGCCACTGAGTTAAACAACCACTTTTTGTAAAGGGAAACAAACAAGATACACTAAAGACTGCAAAATTGCTTTGTGTTTGGAATGTTTCTCTGAGGGGTTAAGCTGTGCTTGCCTGCCTGTGCTCTCTTTTGCTTTTTCTACTTGGACACCATTGTGAGCAAAGAAGGGAATCATTGAAAAGCGTTGGGTACTGGTGACTAATATACTGTTACTAATAACGGGTGGCCAGCCCAGGCACTCAGACAATCACCGGCACCCACTGATATTTAATGATTCCTTTCTCTGCTCAGCATGTTCTTTCTCACTGTGCAATAGATGTTTATGGTATTTGTTTCATGGGATCATCCATGCCCAAGAGTACAAAAATAGAGCAAGTACATGCAGCTTCATCTTCCAGTAGCTTAGGGTGGATTTGAAGCAGAGTTTGCCAGTGCTGAAGATGGAGTTCATGTAAATATATTTCCCAAGAACTTCAAACTCCCTGGCAGTCTGAAGTCACACAATGATATTGTGGATTTATTTTAAAATACCATAATTCTTTAATCATATGAGTAATTAAAGGCTTGTGTTCAAAGTAGCTAGAAAACAATAATGGATTTATTTAAAAGCTTCTGTGTTAGATTTTGGGAACAATGCTTCATAGACTAGGGTTTTTCATAATTTTCACAGACCTGGGTGTGGTAATGTGTATGAAGCAACATGTCTGGCAAATCCGGTTTGGCTATATAATATTGTGATAAAGGAAAGTGTGACCAACTTTAGTTTTTATTTGACTGAGATAGTAATTGTAGTGGAGTAGAGTGTAAAACTGCTATATCTCAGCTGGTAGACGTAGTCAGCATATAAATAAAGAGTAGCGTAGTAATTCCAATCCCATTCCCCAACAACTGGACGACACACAGTTTTGGGAGTCAACTGAACCTTTATTGAACCACAGCCGGTTTTATACAAATCCCCATGCAAGGGGTTTCCTTAATGACATTCCAGGGGTTTTCCCCTGGTGGACCTTGTGGAAAACTGAGTGTACAGTAACATTTCCCAAAATACTTTTCTGTACTGGAGAGATAATTGCGTAAGAGCGCACCTTTACTTACATTATCTCTCCGTACAGAGAATTACACAATATTGGTTAAAATATCATAATTCGTATAATATTTATCCGAACTCCACGAAAGACACTTAACTGAATAGCTGGGTTCTGAGCGCCCAATCTGTCGAAATACCGCTCAGATCTGTTCGTTAGAATAGAAAAGCCATTTGAGTGAAGTTAGGGACCGGTCGGCCACAAGGAGGGAATCCCAAAACAGTTCCAGGCTATGACCGGTCTTTTTTCGGGAGTTCATACGAATTAACAACCAAACATACACATCTATAACTGGGTAGTCGTGTGTCTGACGGTCAGTGATTCAATTTAGACGAACGCCGCTCAATTTGGATGAATGGAATTATCTGCACGAATGGTGTGGATAGTTCCATGCACTCGACAACCAAACACCACTGGACGTTCGTGCGCCAAGATGACCGCCGCCACGTGTTTGTTCATACGAACGGCAACCACCCCTTCAACCACTAGGTGTTTGCGGTTTCCCTATGTTGCCAGTTCTCAATTGGAGACACACGACTCCCTTGTGTGGTGCTCCATTCGGTACTTTGTTCGGCTCCACGAATTGTATGTCCATGTTCTGTTCGGGGAGCCCAATTAAACAAATGGACATAGTCTTTACAGATGGCATTAAACGAATGAACAGTTCTTGGTACAATGAAGTGGCTAGTTTTGCCACAGTAATTTAGCAGACTAAAATGTGTATTAGAGGGACAAAATGTTGGACATAACCAAAAAAGCCAAACTGAAAACATAATGGACTATTTTTCCAATGTGGCTATTATGCCATAAAATGTGAAAATCACTTGCAATTCCTGAATAGTTACACTTTAGTGAATAACCCTGTGAGTCACTATTGATTTATGCTTTACTCCGACCCCACTTGTTAAAGGACCACAATAGGCACCCAGACAACTTTAGCTCAATTAAGTGGTCTGGGTGCCAGGTCCCTCTAGTTTTAACCCTGCAACTGAAAACATAGCAGTTTCAGAGTAATGCTTTCCTTTGGACGTTTTTAATGCGCACGCGACTCTGGCCGTGTATGCGCATTCTGCTCCACTCTGGAGCCAACATCAGAGGGGGAGGAGAGGTCACCAGCGCCAAGGGAGCCCGGCACTGGATAAAGGTAAGTGGCTGATGGGGTTTTAACAGGAAGGGGGCCATAAGGACTACATAGTGCCAGGAAATTGAGTTTGTTTTCCTGTCACTATAGTGGTCATTTAAGTGGATGAATGGACCATCAGAGGAAAACCCAATGCAAGTGTGCATATGCATTTAGACCTTTCAAGAACAAGTTCCATATGTAAGACCTGTGATGGATGAGTTAAAGGCCAACTGTCACCTAAAATCTATTTTTCAATATATACCAATCCTTTCATCAATTTTTTAAAGGGACACTATAGTCACCTGAACAACTTTAGCTTAATGAAGCAGTTTTGGTGTATAGAACATGCCCCTGCAGCCTCACTGCTCAATCCTCTGCCATTTAGGAGTTCAATCACTATGTTTAGGAACCCTAGTCACACCTCCCTGCATGTGACTTGCACAGCCTTCCATAAACACTTCCTGTAAAGTGAGCCCTATTTAGGCTTTCTTTATTGCAAGTTCTGTTTAATTAGGATTTTCTTATCCCCTGCTATGTTAATAGCTTGCTAGACCCCACAAGAGCCTCCTGTATGTGATTAAAGTTCAATTTAGAGATTGAGATACAATTTATTTAAGGTAAATTACATCTGTTTGAAAGTGAAACCAGTTTTTTTTTCCATGCAGGCTCTGTCAATCATAGCCAGGGGAGGTGTGGCTAGGGCTGCATAAACAGAAACAAAGTAATTTAACTCCTAAATGACAGTGAATTGAGCAGTGAAATTTTCTTTTTTCTTTTTTTTTTTAAATCAATTTCCTTCCAAAATTTGATAAAATTATTGATATAGTAAAAATGTTTTTGACAACTTAGTTGGACTGGACAGTTGTTATCCTTAAGGTTTTTTGGTTTGTTTGTTTTTTTTGGGGGGGGGTTCCTTTCATTTTCTTTGCTTTGATTTATGCGCCCTATTTTCCTATGCATTATTAAAGCAACACTGTCATGCTGAACTTACCTTTCCCTAATAGCTTCCTCTTCTCTCCCTCTGTCAGGATCTGTTATTCATTCCTATCTGCTCTAGTTTTCTTTAAAACATAAGACAAAGTAGGGACTGAAAAGGCAGTATTTACATGAAAATGCTTGAAGGGAACTATTATACTCACCAGAACAACTACATTAAGCTGTAGTTGTTCTGCCGACTATAGTGTTCCTTGAAGGACAGAATTAGGTACTATGTGATATTTCCCAGAAAAATGCCATATAGAAGTCTATGAATATTTCTGTGAATACAGATTATTAGTACATAAACACATACTGTTGATGCCGGTGCCAAATAATTGAGTGTGAAATTAGAAACTTTCAGGAGCAATGTCTAAACCAATTTTCAACAAAGTGACACATGCAGTTTTACACCTGAGTCTCATTCTACCGGGAGGAGGAGGCACACCTTGACACTCTACTGATTAAGGGTTGTGACATTTAGATTGTCTGTCCTCGGGATTTGTTTTCTGGATTGTTGTATTTTTGCCAATATCCTTAAAGCGACACTGTCAAGCCGAAATTACCTTTTTCCTATTGCTTCCTCTTTTCTCAGAATCTGTTCTTCTATTCTTTATTTCTGATATATTTTTCTTTAAAACATAAGAAAAAGTACAGACTGCAAAAAATGCCAAGGTGAGAACACACAAGAAAAAAAAAAAGGCATAAGTATAAACAACCAGGAAATTAAAAATAAAGGCAACTAGCCCTGGTGAGCCAGCAGTCTGCTCGGAACCACCACGACTGAGCAAAGTCTTACCTTCCAGTGGAAGTGAAGTTTTTATTTTAATATATAAAACATTGATGTGTCATCGAAAAACAAAAATTCTCTATAACTTTTGGATATCAATATTTCAGATAAACCATTAAATAAGAGGGGGGGAAAAAGATATAGGAGATTAAAATCAATATCAATACACATTACAATATATATAAAAAAAATATACAAACTTGGCTAAAAGGACCAGTATACAATATCTATTCTAGAACATAGTAGAAAGTTTATTACGTTCAACTGGAACAAAGCCATTCTTGGAGCAGTTTGGACAGAGTGTAAAAACCTTGCTTTAAACTAATCCTCACGACGTTCCACTGGAATGTCCTATTGTTGCAGAAGAGCAAAACATCTTGAGGCAAAGTAGTCTCTTTCGTCATTATGTTCTGTTAGTGATTCAGCTGAGTTGGAAATCCCTAGCGGTAAATAATGTTAGAGGCTTTTAAGACCTTGTTGAGGGCTGCAAAGTCTCTTTGTTTAAGTCAAAGTAGTGGATGATAAATTCATGAACCTCTAAATCAGGCTTCTCCAAACTCTGGCCCTCCAGTTGTAGTTCAGCAACATCTGGAGGGCCGGTGTTTGGGGAAGCCTGCTCTAAATAGAAGAGTATAGGGCAGGGAATTCAGGAGGAGATCTAGGAGCCTTCATAATGCTCTTCTTGTTGGTATAATAATGGAGCTTGTCAATTGCATCTTGTGGAGAAGATATAAGAATTTATTTAGTAAAGAAAAAAAAAGGAATTGGAGGCACACATGGAACTAGCATTTTGCAGGAATGGTGCTGCCGTAGTGACAAAAATTTAATACATAGCCTAAAAAAAGGTAAAAATGCATTTTTATATGTGTGCTGTAACTTAATTTGTATTATATATAAATTTTGGTTACTATGGCAGCACCGTTCCTGCAAAATGTATGGTCCGGGTGTGCCCCCAATTTCCTTTTTTGTCTTTACTATTTAAGCTTGGAACCCAGGCTAGATTCCTTTTGGATTGATTCAATTCTTTCCATGTGGTAATCCTAATTCGATAGCCATGGAGGTGCATTTGGTCCACCCCCCTGATGGCAGAGGTGGAGCCTGACCCATAGCTGAGGAACATCAGCTCTGGAATCAGGTAAGTAACAAAATGTTTTTTAACGCTTTCAGCAATGAGGGGAGGGATATGGTATCACACTATAGGATACCATAGTGCTAAGAATGCAACGTTGCAGTCCCAGCACTATAGTTTTCCTTTAAACTGACTAGTGTTTTTATATGGAAATACATCATTAAGATAGCATGTGATATGTAGCCACATGACAATACTGTTTGCACAGCTAAATACATAACAAGTAACCATGTGTTGGAGTGAGTTGCTTGTGTTTTTCATACGTCCGGTATCTACACTCTCTCCCCTTTTTTTTTCATTTAATTTATATGTTTTTTATTAAAACATTTTATTGAATTTATTTAATAAAGCAATGAGAAGAGGGAGAGTGTGACATAAATGAATATTGAGGTGCTGGGGATGGTTAGTTATATACAGCCAATAAGACCACACTACAAAGAATGTGTGCTTGAGAGTACCTGAAATATTTGCCTCACAACCTTAGGAGTAGCTGGATTGGGTGGTAATTCTAGTCACAAAACAGATGAAAAAAGCACACTGAGTATCATAAACTCTACAGCTTCTTGCAATGGCTATGGAGAAATGAAGATCTAGTGATAGTCCCTGCAGTTTGACGAAATAAAACACCTGGTCACTCAAGCTAGTCTCCTTCTGCCAATGGGCTTGTGAGGAAGTTAAATATTAAGGTTTTAGTAGGGAACCTGTCTCCATTTTGTGGTGCTAAAGATAAAGAAAGAAAAAATTCTGTGGAAGAAACTAAAACACTCTAAGGGATACATACGAACAGGGTTATTCACTAAAGTGAGACTTGCCGTGAATTTAAAATTTAAAGGGACACTATAGTCACCCAGACCACTTCAGCTCAATGCAGTGGTCTGGGTGCCAGGTCCCCCATGTTTCAACCCTTCAAATGTAAACAGCAGTTTCAGAGAAACTGCTATGTTTACATTGCATGGTTCATCCAGCCTTCTTCCTGACATCCAGCGTGCAGAACGTTTATAGGAAAGCAAATGCTTTTCTATGGACTGTTTATAAAAAATTTTTTAAAAAAAGTGGAAAATTGGGGCTAACCCCAATATTACACCAACTGAGGGTGCTAGGAAACTGAGATGTAGTGACTACAAAATAGTCAGATCAGACTATAAAAGTAACAAGAATTATTCCGTATAAAGATATATACATAAAAAAACCCAGCACTATTGTGAAACCGGGATAAATATCCGGCACCAACCACTATATATGGTGAGAATGGGTATTCTCAAAGCCCTTTGGTCGCGACTCCTGGGGGCTAGGGGATACCTACAGTAGAATATACACCGTCTCTGGGCTGTCACCTTCTGGCTCAACGTGTTTTGTCCCGCCGTACTCGGGACTTCCTCAGGAGCTGGGGATGAGCTGTACGTCCTTCCAGTGTTTCTTTTAAATATTCAAATCTTTGCACCCAATTAGGTCTATGCGCATGCACACAAAGGCATCATCTCCCATCTCGTCCGGTGCATTGGCGCACACTTGTACGTCATACGCCATGGACGTTCCAGAAGTGCCCCACGCACATGTGCCTCCACCTTGGAACGCACAACAAACTTTAATGGCATCTGGACAACCTATACAAAGTAACACAAGCTTCCACATCTGTGGAGGTTACGTGTAGCTGTTGATCTGTAACAGCTGATGCCTTTAACATATTGGAAGCCTTGGATTATACCACAAATTGATGTTGTATGTTAAAAAAAATTATATATTAAAAATACCGAAGATTATGTGTGTGTGTGTGTGTGTGTGTGTCTAATTCCGCTATCTTGGCCTACCTTTTTAAAGGAACACTGTAGGAACCCAGACTACTTCAGCTCATTGAAGTGATCTGGGTGCAAACTCACATCACCCAATATTTTTATATATATATATATATATATATATACACACACACACACACACACACACACACACACACACACACACACACACACACACACACACACACACACTGGATATAATATTGTCCAATGCTTGCACTCCTGTAAAGAAGTATATATAGCCCGGTGCTTGTCGGCACAAATAATAGATAGAAAAATGTGAAAAGCACTCCAGGGACTTCATATAAGGTGAAAAAAAACAACTTAGCTTTATTCAGCAACTGCCAAAAGTGATCAACGTTTCAGCTCCCACTTGGAGCTTTCGTCAGGATACCAGTGCATAACAAATGTTACAAAATAAATAACATACTCAATCAAGTACATTGGATACAACTGAGACTTACCCAAGCTGCTATCTGAACGCCACAAATTCGCGGGCAAAACTTGACCCTATTGCATGTGTGCAGCAGCTGTTGCTGCTGTGTAACCCCTGCGTTCCAGTAGTTGCCTGGGAAACCCGTCGGGACGCACGGAGGCGTCTATTTACATATTACCATGGCAACAGACCGATCGCAATCGTGATCAGTAGTGCGATCGGTTCTAGGGGTGGGGGAACGGCATGAACCTTGGATAGTCTGGTTACTAAATAAGATACATTGTGTCATTAACAGCTGCTAGCTCATCAATGAAAGATAGTTTTAACCCCTTAAGGACTGGACTGTTTTTGCGATGTTGTACATTTGCGACCAGGCATATTTTTACACTTTTATGGTGTTTGTGTTTGGCTGTAATTTTCCGCTTTCTCATTTACTGTTCCCATACAAATTATATATTGTTTTTTTCAGGACAAAAGGGGCTTTCTTTACATACCATTATTTATATAATCTCATGTATTTTAATTTAAAAAAAATACAAAAATCTGATGAAAAATTGAAAAAAATACATGTTTTTTGACTTTTACTTGAAAAATCTTTTACTCATCTACAAAAGCGAATGAAAAAAACTGCTAAATAGATTCAAAATGTTGTCCTGAGTTTAAAAATACCTAGTGTTTACGTGCTTTTTTGCTTTTTTGCATGTTATAGGGCTATAGGTACAAGTAGGATATTGCGGTTTCAAAACATACATTTTTAAAATTTATCAATAGTGACATTGTAACACTATTATCTGTCATAAATCTCTGAATAACACCCACATGTACATATTTTTTTTTTTGAATTTGACAATTTTTATTTTGTCGAAAAAGGGGTGGGGGTACAGAAAGTAAATAGGGTGGGTTAACATCACATAAGGCATTGCAGTTTGAATACAGTAGTTTGTCAGGGTTTGCACAGTTGTAGTTATCCCTTAGTAACAGCACTTTGTGGTGTGAGGGTGTCTTGTGCATAGTGTCATCTTCTTTTTTAATGGTGTAGTATGGGTTTTCTCGTCATGGGGTCGTGCTGGCTGGGCAGAGCTTAGCATGGCCCTGGTTATTGTGTTACATATGGTTATGGATGTCTCATCATAGCGTTTATAGGGGATAGGAGGGGAATTGGGATGGGTGTGTATGCCGTGTGGAGTAGTGTGGTGAGGTATCAGTCTGTCATTTGAGTTCAGCCTCCTATCGTGGAGGTGCCGTTTCCAGCTTCAGGGTTGTGTTATATATGATTGTTGTGGTCTAGTTTTGTCCCACAGGTCCCATGCTTCAGTCCAGTAGGGGTGAGACTGTCTCAATTTCCTTGCCATAAGTTCATATAGTTTGGTTGATTCTATTACCTCAATGCATTGGTGGAGTGTTGGTGTGATTTGTTGCTTCCATTTTCTGCTAATGACTGTGAGGGCTGCAATGCAGATGTGGTACAGTAGATACTTCAGGTGCAGGTGTGGCAATTGTGGGAGTGAGAGTAGTAGGAATGTTTCTGGTGTGGGGGTTATCTGCACCTTGGTGCATTTTGTAGCCAGGTTCGCAACTTGTGCCCAGTATCGTTGTAGTAGCGGGCATTGCCACCATATGTGTAGTAGGGTGCCTCGGTGCGCTTGACATCTCCAACATGTGTCCGATGTATCGGGGTAGCTATGTTTGAGTTTTGCGGGGACTAGGTACCACCTGTAGAGTAGTTTGCGTGAGAGTTCTATGTGGGTCGTACAGAGGGTTAGTCGTTTATGAGCTTGGTATATATCTTGCCATTGGTCATTTGAGAGTGTGTGTCCGATGTCTTGTTCCCATGCCACTTTAAAGGAAGGTGGGTCCGTTAGGGTCTCTATGCGTTCCGAGGCGTATAATGTGGAGATAAGTTTTGTCGCTGGTTTTTCCCTTGTGCAGATCTTCATCAATTTAGTCCAATGGAGGTTTGGAGGATCAGCAGGTTGTGTCGGAGTGTGGATGCGTATCCATGATTGTAGTTGGAGGTAGGAAAAGGCCGCCGTATTAGGTAGCTTGAATTCTGTGCGAAGTTCTGAGAATGATTTGGGGTTATTTCCTTGCATTATATGCGATATTGTGGTTATGCCGTGCCTTTGCCAGAGTTTATAATTGAAATCTGGGATAAGCTGTCGGAGTGTCTCTAATGGCATCGCCGGGGAGAGTAGGTTTGTCGCGCCTCTTTTTTTCCGGTAGCTGTCCCATATGGACAGGGTTAGTGCTGTAGTGGGGAGCAGTTCTGAAGCTTTGGGTCTGTGAGTTTTTGATAGCCAGGCTAGAGTCTGGATTGGGATCTTCCGGGCTTGCCTTTCCTCCAGTTTTGCCCACGCTGTGGGGACCTGGCTGTGTGTTGCAGCAATGAGTGGAGCTATGTGCGCTGCCCTGTAGTATCCCGCCAATTCGGGCAGGCCCATCCCGCCCTGGGCGTGTGGCTTGTACATTGTGGCTTTGGACACCCTTGGTTTTTTATTGTCCCAGACGAAGTCGTTTATGACGTTTTGTAGTTCCATTAGATACTTTTTGGGGAGTCGGAGTGGGAGTGTACGGAACAGATATTGAATCTTGGGTAGAATCACCATCTTCACCGAGGCTATTCGTCCAGTCCAGGACACATATTTCCCCCTCCAGCTTTGCATTAGGGATTTAGCTTCCTTAAGCAGTTTAGTATAGTTCGCTTTGAGCAGTGTGTTCGTTGTAGGTGTGAAGTTTATTCCTAGAAATTTGATATTGTCTTGTCTCCAGTCGTAGTTAAAATTGGATTTAAGGGTTGTCAGGACAGGGCTCGGGATATTAATCCCCATGGCTAGAGTCTTAGTGATGTTCAACTTGTAATATGAGCAGGCGCTATATCTAGAGAGGATTGCGTGGAAATTGGGCAGGGAGATATGTGGTTGTTCCAGGGTTAGTAAGATATCATCCGCAAATAGGGACAATTTGTACTCCTGGTCCCCAGTTTTAATACCGTGGATATTCGGGTTGTCTCGTATGAGTTGGGTGAGGGGTTCTAGCGCCAGGATGTACAGCAGTGGGGAAAGTGGGCAGCCCTGTCTAGAGCCGTTAGTTATATGGAAGGGTTTTGAGATAAAACCCCCGTTTACCACTCGGGCTGTTGGCTGAGAGTATAGTGCTTTAATGAGTGATATAAATTGTGGGGGAAATTCAAATTTGTGGAGGACAGCCAACAGGAAGGGCCAATGGAGCCTATCAAAGGCTTTTTCGGCATCTAGGGATAGTAGGACGCTGGGCCTCTTTTTTTGCTGTATCACGTATAGTAGGTCCAGGGTTTTTCGCGTGCCGTCCGCTCCTTGTCTGCCCCTCACAAACCCTACTTGGTCTTCTTTAATAAGTGAAGGAATTATGGGAGCTAGCCTGTTTGAGAGGATTTTTGCTATAATTTTCACGTCCGTGTTTAACAGCGAGATGGGGCGCAGATTTTGGCATTTGTTTGGGGGTTTCCCTGGTTTGGGGAGGGTGGCAACATGGGCCATGAGCATTTCTTGTGGCATGGTCCCTGTCTGTAGGATGTGGTGGTATACTCTTTGTAGGTAGGGAGCTAGGGTAGGCGCGAACTGTTTGTAATATGAGTTGGGTAGTCCGTCTGGGCCTGGTGATTTTCCAGGTGGTAGGGAGTTTATGGTGTCTATGATTTCTTGCTCGGTGATCTGATGTTGTATAGTGTGTTTTTGTGTTGTCGTTAGAGTGGGGAGTTCCATAGTGTGAAGGAATTCGTCTATTTCTTGTGTGGTAGGTTGGTGTAGGGTGGGATCTGTTTTAAGGTTGTAGAGGGAGTGGTAGTAGTCGGCCATATCGTCATTGATGTCTTGTGGGTTATGAATTTTCTCGCCAGTTTTGGTGATTAGGTGTGGGATTTTGGAGTTGGCCTGCTTTTGTTTGAGTAAGTTGGCCAAGTGTTTCCCTGCTTTGTTACCTTGCGTGTATGTTCGTAGTTTCAGTTTGGTAAGGATGTGGGCCGTTTTCTCAAGAGTTAAGATATTGATTTGTTTAGTGATATTTTGTATGTCGTTTGCATGCGTGTCCGATGGGTTCAGAAAATGTGCAGCCGTGATGTCTCTTAGCTGTCGAAGAAGGTCTATATGTGCCTTGTCCCTTTGGCGTTTGAGGTATGATGCTCGGCTGATCAGCTGACCTCTCAGGACAGTTTTATGGGCCTGCCAGATACTGTAGATGGAGGTCTCCGGGTTATCGTTGGTGTGAAAATAGTCTTGCAGGTTTTTCATCAATTTTGTCGTGAACACTTTGTCCTGAAGGAGTGTTTCGTTGAGGCGCCATGGTGGTTTACCTCTATGTTGGTAGTTAGATCGCAGGGTCAGTGTAATTGGGGCGTGGTCGGACCAGACTATATTGCCTATTGAGCAGTCCTCTATGAGCGGTAGTATCGTGCCTGAAGCGAGGATGTGGTCTATTCTTGAATATGTCTTGTGTACGTGCGAGAAGAATGTGTATTCTCTGTCCGATGGGTGTCTAGTTCGCCAAACATCGTATAGGCTATTTTCGTGTATAAGCTTTGTGAATGCTTTGTTGTTTGGGCCCAGTGTGAGGTGCCTTGTTGATGTGGCAGGGGTTGTTGTGTCTGTTCGCGAGTCCATAGTATGGTTATAGTCTCCGCAGATAATCTTGGGATCATTTGAATCTTCTGGCAGTTTGCTGAGGACCTTATGGAGGAAGTTGCGCTGTTGGTCATTTGGGCTGTATAGGCATACTAGAATGAGTGGGTCGTTGTTAATTATACATTGAAGAATAAGGTATCTGCCTTGGCTGTCCGTTTTGACTCGCAGAGTCTCCACTGTTAATGAGTTATGTAACAGTATGGAGACCCCTCTGGATTTAGAAGTGTGCGTGGCATGGTACTGTGTGGGGTAGTCTCTAGTTGCGAAGGTGGGTATTCGGTTAGTGACAAAGTGCGTTTCTTGAATGCAGACTATGTCTGCCTTCGTGCTTTTTATATCATCCAGTAGCACTCGCCGTTTGTGAGGCGTGTTGAGCCCCTTTGTGTTGTGTGAGTAGATGATCATGGTTATTATGGAGTGTTGCGTAAGTTCAAGTATTGTATGCGGTGGTGGTTTGCTTAGGATGGGAGGTGCGTGTAGCTGCCGTGTCGTGTAGGTGCAGGGGAGAGGTAGGGAAGGCTGGGAGGACGGGGTTCTGTCGGTGGTTAGGGTGGATTATATACAAAGACCGTGCGGTCTGGTACGTTAGTCGTACCGTGGGGCTGCGGAGCTGGAGCTTCCAAATACGTGGCTAGTTGGGCTCCTGTCTATATATAAACAACTATTTGGTAGAGCTGAAACCTTGGTTATAGCGTGGATCAACAATAAAACTTTCAACACAACTTTAAACTTTGTTATTGGATAGGCATGCAGGTATCATTACGATAATCGATGCTGTCTGTTTTGACCGCTGCTGCTGTAATTATGCAAGAACATTGTTTTTACCCTCCCTTTTTAACCACATTCTTAATTGTGCAGTGTGGCGCGTATTTGGGCTTGGGCTGTGTTAGGTTTCCCCGGTGCCCTTGTGCGCATCGAAGCGTGCTTATCTAGTAGTGCTAGACATTGGGCAGTGGGATAGATTGTCCCGTTGGGCTCATGCTTTAGTGACAGCGCCCTATGCGAAGGTGTGTCCTATAATGGCACTTCATTTAATAAATTCTATGCATTGCGCAGCATGTGCATCTAAGGGCTACCCAATCTGGTTTACAGTTGAGTGGGCTATTAAAGGGAGTGCAGACAGCGGTTAGGATTATACCCTCTTGTAGCATGGGTACATACACCTTGCATATTAATCAAGAAAACATTTGAGCAGATATAGCATTAATGTGATACTTGCGCTAGCATGCCATTCAGTTCCGTTCTTTCATTTTAGTTCATATTTGTGCTATGGCCTGGTCTTTGGGGCTTGGGTCGTGCCTCTGTCGGTGGTGCTGTCGTTAAGTCCCATGCCTCCAGGGCCGCCAATCCGTCCTCTGGAGATAGAAGGAGGTGCGATTTCCCGTTTCTGGTGAGGATTATCTTCGTGGGGAATCCCCACCTGTAACGGATTCCATGGTGGCGGAGTGCGGTTGTGACCACGTTGAAGTCTCGTCTGCGTCGGAGGGTAGCTGGCGACAGGTCCGCCATGATGCGTACTGTTGGGAAGTCTTCATGCGGGTTTGCTTTGTTACGATGGGATCTGAGGACCAACTCTTTCACATGATAGTAGTGGGCCCTGAGTAGGACATCGCGTGGGATGGAATCTGGTAGGTGTCTCGGTTTCGCTACTCGGTGGACCCTATCGACAAGCAGCATGTCTGCGGGGATGTCCGGGCCGTAGGCGCGTAAGAGGCCTCTCACATAGGCCTGCAGGTCCTCAGGTAGGACCGTTTCAGGGACTCCTCTGAGTCTTAGGTTGTTTCTGCGCGCTCTGTCTTCATGGTCCGCCATGCGCGCCTCCATGCTTTCCATTTGTTGTTGTAGGGATTGTAAGCACCCTGAAGTCGTTGTTTGCGCGGTCTCGAGGGTCTGGCAGCGTTGTTCCGCTGCGGATGTTCTGGCCGATAGATCTCTGACCTCGCGTTTGAGTTGGTCGGCAGTTGTTTGCCATGTGGTAATTAATTTTGTCGCCATTGCCTCCATAGCACGTTCGAAATAGCTTCGTGTTAGGCAGTCTGTGGGCTGAGGCTCTTCAGACATTGCCGGCAGTGAGCTGGATTCCAGCTCGTCCACGGTCTCTTGGTCTGTCGCCCGTGCTGTCTCCGCTGTTAGGGAGGATTTTTGTCCAAAAAAGTTCATTTTTTCGGCTTTTGCAGCCATTTTCTTAGCTTTGGATGAGGCCATGGTTTGCTTGGGTGTTAGGGTGGTTTCAGCTCGCGTTAAAAGTGGAGTTGGTGGAGCCCATGTGCCGGAGCAGATTTCTAAGCGGCCATCTTGCTCGGCGGTTAGCCACGCTCCCCGTACATATTTTTTTTAAAGTAGACAACCCAGGGTATTCAATATGGGGTATGTCCAGTCTTTTTTAGTAGCCACTTAGTCGAAAACACTGGCCAAAGTAAGCATTCATATTTGTTTGTGTGTGAAAAAGTAAAAACTAAATTGAACGCTAATTTTGGCCAGTGTTTGTGACCAAGTGGTTACTAAAAAGACTGGACATACCCCATTTGCAATACCTTGGTTGTCTTCTTTGCAAATGGTATGCCATCATGGGGGTAATTCTCATTCCTGGGCTACCATACGCTCTCAAAGGCAACGTGAACCAACCTGGCCATTTTCAATGTAAAATATTTGACCCATATATTTGACCTTGTAGCTTTCAAAATAAAAAAACCTGTACATAGTATTTACTGAGATCGCTGAACACAAATATTAGTGTTTAAAAACTGGAAAACGTATCACAACAATTATATCATCAGTAAAAGTGCTGTTTGTGTGTGAAAAATGCAAAAAAAGTAACTTTCACTGACAATATCATCGCTGTGATATGTTTTACTGTTTTGAATCACTAATATTTGTGTTCAGCGAAGTCTCCCGAGTAAAACAGTACCCCCCATGTACAGGTTTTAGGGTGTCGTAGAACGTTACAGGGTAAAATACAGTGCTAGCAAATTAAATTCTCTGGAATTTCGGCCTGGGTTGGCAGGCAGGTCCCTCAAATTGCAATCAATAAAATTACTGAATTATGTAAAAATATTACATAAAACGCACGTAGAATTTAAATATATATGCATATTTATATATTTGAAGTCTACGTATATTTATATAATTATTTATGTAATTTTGTATATGGACGTATGTATATTTCTTATTATTTTTATTTATTTTTATATACATAGATATATATACAAATTCATTCTAAGTGTATTTTGATATAAATATATATATATTAATTTTAAAATACAGTTAGAATAAAATTTCATATAGATATATAATTTTTTTTTACATTTTTATTATTATTTAAAAAAATTTATTTAATTTAAATTACTTATTATTTATATTTTATAATAATATATATATACAATATATATAGTTATTATATATATTATATATATACGTGTGTAATTTAATTATACGTGTATTTTTATATTAATATAAGTACATATTAATATAAAAATACTTAGTATGGCATTATATATATGATATATAGACATATATTATATAGATATAATATATGTCTATATATCATATATACACCTATATAATTATTATTATTTTTTTTTTTATTAACACTAACTTTATTTTTTTAATTGATTTTACACTAGCAGGGAGACTGCCTGTCAGCACAGGCAGTCCCCCTGCAGGCAGACACATGGACTCCTATTGTGACCATGTGATCGCTCTGTTAAGCGATCACATGGACACAGGGGTCCTAATCTGCCGTGGGGAGACTGTCTGGGCTGCAGGCAGTCTCCCCACAACCGGAGCCACGCTGATCGCCGCCGGGGGAACGACGGCGATCAGGTAAGTAGCTCTGACCGTTTGGATGGTTCAGGACCGTCATCGGTCCTCAAGGCAAAAATGCCGATGATGGTCCTGAACCGTCCTCGGTCCTTAAGGGGTTAAACAGTAAAGGATACGGTTTACACATAGCATATACTCTAATAGGTATTGCCTGAAAAAGAAGGGTTTACAACTCAACATAGCTAATCCAATATTACATTATGTGTGATAAATTAATTCTAAAGCACTATAAAAGGGCATGACTGGTGACATCTATGAAATGAAGGGTAACTAGATGTTCCTGGGAATTATTAGAATATGTATATATAAGCTATTGAGAGGGAGGCATTTCCTATCTAAGGTAATATGTGTATGATATTGTTAACAAGGGGAGATATCAAAAGGTGATATCTTGATATCCACTATAAAGATTAGTAGGGAACTCTAATTAATCATTGTTGTATGGTTAAAATTTAACAATGCATCTGTCAAATGAGTTGCATACCTGCAGTATCAAAATAGTGACTATGTATATTTGAGTCTTAATAAAACCAAAAGGACACACATGGAACCTACGCTTAAGTGAGTTAGAATGTCCAAATTCCTAGCTGAGTACATAGGTCATCATCAAAAAACCCAAGTATACATTCAAATAAGTCAAAACACACAATAAAGAAAGTCTAGAAGATAGAAAAAATCTACAAATATATCTCTATCTATCTATATAAAACAATGTTGTGTGGATATAAATATTTGTTGAGCCAGAAGACGACAGCCCAGAGACCTGATTACCGCCACGATGTATATTCTACTGTAGGTATCCCCTAACCCCCAGGAGTTGCGACCAAAGGGCTTTGAGAATACCCATTCTCACCATATCTAGTGGTTGGTGCTGGATATTTATCCCGGTCTCACAATAGTGCTGTTTTTTTATGTATATATTTTTATTTGGAATAAATTTGTTACTTTTATAGTCTGCTCTGACTATTTTGTAGTCACTACAGTTTCCTTGCGCCCTCAGTTGGTGTAATATTCGGGTAAGCCCCAATTTTTTTTTTTTATACTGTCACTTATCTAGGCTTGTTTTGGAGTGTGCCTAATGAGAGGCTGCTGTATATATTGAGATCCTAGTATCTGTATCTACCCTTATTCTATGTATTCCTATGGACTGTTTGAATGCATGCGCGGCACTTGATGCGCATTCCGCTCCACTCGGTAGCTGGCGGGGGAGGAGAGGTTACCAGTGCAGAGGGAGCCTGGCGCTGGATTAAAGTAAGTAACTGAAGGGGTTGGGACCCTGAGGAAGGGGGGGGGTCCTAAAGAGTATATAGTGTCGGGAAAACAAGTTTGTTTTCCTGGCACTATAGTTGATCCTTTAAGCCTAACTGAAAAGAGAATTGATTTGGAGAGATTTCTAATTCCGCTATCTTGGCCTACCTTTTTAAAGGAACACTGTAGGAACCCAGACTACTTCAGCTCATTGAAGTGATCTGGGTGCAAACTCACATCACCCTTAATCCTAGGGTGGTAATTATTGCAGTTTTTATAAAACTACTCTGGTAAACTACAATAATTACCTGCTAGGGTTAACTCCTCCTCTAGTGGCTGTCTTCCGTGTGGATAGGGGACTTTTAGTCGCCTAAACGACTCTGGACGTCCTCATGCTCTGCATGAACTTCCACTGTCACTGGAATCCCCACAGGAAAGCAATAAATAATGCTTTCCTATGGGGAAATCCTAATGCGAGCCTGGCCGTTGTCACACACGCGCATTAGGTCAGCATTTAGTGTGCCCTGGCAGTTGATAACTGAAGCAACGCAAATGACAACAACTAAAGGGTCACTAGTTCTAACAAGCTATAGTATAGTAATTGTTTATTGCACATCTCTATGAATCGCTATGTCCTCAGTACTTTTTCATTGCTATCTCGGTTACACACAAGAGTTTCTAGCTTTGGTGGCTATAATAAGTTGTCTCTTCTAGTCTGCTTATTGTTTCATATGCCTGAAGAACTAGTAGATAACATTACAGCCTGCAGTTTCATATAATTTCATGTAAACGCAACAGACTGGCGTACACATAGGTGCCATCTATCGCCCTGTATTGGCAAAATGGTAAACAACACGCTAATGTTTGTTTATGTTTTGTTTAAACTCTGACCATCTTATTATACTATAAAATAGCCTATCCCATAACCGGATACAGTAAGTAAAATAACATTTATAATTTCATATGAAACTAGACTATTTATTGGCGTCTTTTGCCTAGCCAAGGCCAAAATCGTAAGCCTATATGAGTCCTGCAGCCTTATCCTATTCCCAAATGTTGCATTTTTTGGAGATTTGACTTTTCCAGCAAATATATGCCTAAACCTGTATAGCCTATCTAATGTTGTGGCATATACACAAGAATATACTTACTTAGTATTTTTTAGTTAAATTAATAATAATAAAAATAAAAAAAATGCTTCTTATTCCACAAATCAGACTTCACAGCCCTGGTAGAAACTAGTTGAATCTGTATTCCTTCCAGCATAGGAACTTCAAAACAAAATGGAAATATGCAGGGGTTTTTTTTTTTTAATAAAGTGAAAATTGTCCAGAATTAGTGTGAATTTCCAATTTAAGACAAAAATAGCTGAACTATAAACATTTTTTGTCCTAGTCACATATGCTCCCAGTTTGGGTATTTTTGTGTAAAAATCACTTTGAATTCCTAACCATGAATAACGTTGACATTAGGTCAGTGATATTTATTTAGCATGGGCATGGTAACAAGCACATTTCTAAAACTGGTTCTACTGAAAAAAAAAACACAAAATTGTATTGGTTTAATGTGGTGCTTTATTTACTTATAGAACTTTTCTTAACTACTTCCTTTTGTGTACTAAGCGAGACACATTAAATCCTTGCCATCATAGCTTGAAGATATTTAATACTCTATAGTATACGAACTTACTTTTTTGTCTCTTTTTTTTTTTTTTTTTTTTTTTCAGGAATACTGAAATTTGCACGTTCCTCTTGACTATTCTCTGGTGTTTTACATACTCTTGTTTGCTAAACACTGTGCCGTACGGAAGATGGCTGAGCTACATGTCCTTTCTCCTGTCCAGTTGCTGCATTGGACAGGACACACGAGACTCTGAAGTACTCGTAACGGGAAGATTTACGTGAACTCAGTTTTCACATGAAAATTATGAGCTGAAGGTCTTTTAATTGGAATTAATATCCAGTATGTATGGACCGTATTCAAAGCTGCATGCAACAATAAAGTTGTATCTAATTTTACATTATTTTTAACTGTTGTTTAAGCTTAAACAGATTAAATAAAATTTTACATTTTGTCTGTATTTCAGTCCATGTAAAAGTATTATTACATGATGGTATTCTAACATTTGAAAAGGCTATGGACATACAATGGGAAGTGTATCTGAAAATTGCTTATTGCAGTCCATTCAAAATGTCATGCTAGGTTACTGTAGATAGCGCTTGACATGAAGAATATCTGGTGCTAAAAATAAATAGCATTCCCAAAGAAAACATGATAGTAGAGCACTTCAATATGTAGTAATTACCTCTATGTATAGGATATGTGTCTCCATCTACAACATGGGGAAAACAAGACACATACGTATAATACTGTGTATACACCTAAAACTCTGTCCAAATATTGTATGTAAACCCACTCACATTGGAGGGAGCCTGATATGACTCGCTCTGATGTTATGGGACTTTGTCATATCAAGTGATACTACTTCCTGCGTGCGGCACTGACTTCCTTGCTTTTGCTAAAATCAAATATAATGATCGTACCGGTTTCACGTTTCAGGCTTTCTCAACCAGAATGTTGAAGTTCCTGGGTGTCTTTACTTAAACCATACAGGAGTCAGTTAGTCCTGGCCACATGACGTGAAGAGCCAATCATTTGCCCTCACCTTTGTCATCTACTCCGGTTTTTACAGACGTGACGTTCCAGAGGAGTAATAGTATGTCACTTTTGGTATCGAATCTCCATTAAATGAATCCTAACTGCATTGCTTGTGTTGTAGTTGGCATATAAACCCTCATGGCAGCATGAATGATTGCACAGTAATAACATTCTTAAAACAACTTCAAATACATTGTCTTTAATATTGTTAGTTCCAAATGCATGTGTGAGCCTCCAGAATACTTAAAACATACCAGTTTAAAAAAAAATCAGGGACAAATCTTCAAACATCAATTTGGAAAGCCCCAAGACATGTTTTTCAAAATAAAACTAGAAGCATTAATCAATTTAATCCTTAACTTATTCACCCTAACATGTGAGCATTTCATCTAAATGGAGTTATGGGACATCATTCATAAAGACACTTGCAGGAAGTAGCTCTCTTACAAGTTTGTATTTCAAAATATTTTATGTAAGAAATACATTAAAAAAAAAAAAAGAACTCTGTCAATATTTGCATTAAAGATCCATTTTATGTGGGTTTTTTTGTTTGTTTTTTTTAAAATATCATGAACTCTTCAACTGATGTCAATCTTAAACCAATAGTTTTTTTTGAATACCTATAAATTAAAGACCAAACTGCTACACACTATAGCATTAGGAATACAAACATGCTGTAGATTTACCCTACCGATTTTGATGTGTTATACCCCTCCTCCCCTTCCATAAGGGTTTAAAACTGGAGTTTTATTTACCTGTACCCCCTCTCGCTGTAAAATCTCACCACATCCACTCGATCTTCCTTATACGGAAGCATTGGAAGGCCAGTGCACATGTGCAGCAAATCACAAAGATACATCAATCAAATGCTCTCTTGAAACGAGTCTGACTCTGGAAAACAACCACTAGAAATGTGTTTAACCCCACAATGAAAACATAGTCGTTTTACAAAACTGTAAATTAAAAAAATAAATAAAAAAAATTTAATCTTATCCTCTGTAATTGCCTATATTTTTTTTTTTTGAATACCTATAAATATAAGATGTTTTTTGCATGGTTGATTTGGCGATACTCTGACACCGTCACCTAGCAATCATTATTTGGCCCTTGTCAAGAGATCTTTTCGCTTGGCAATTTTTATAGCTTTAAACTCATTAAATTCAAAAACTGACTGTTCACTTTCTACCTAATATAACCCACCCCTTTACCGATGCCATTGTAACAATATACACCAATTTTATTCACTTTACCTGTCAGTGGTTTTAATGATGTGTCTGATTAGTGTATGAGGCACATACATGCATGGTTCTGCATTGTCTTTAACAAATACCCAAGAGAACAGTGTGTAGATAGAGTCCTGGCTCTCACTTTACATGAACAAAAGCAAGAAATTCAGTAGCTTGCCTTTCGGTTAGTTCCCACTCATGTCTTAAAAATGGCCCTCGTTAGAAAGGTGTAGCTGATACCAATTTAGTCACAGTCGGCACAGGGTCCACGTCTAGATTACCCCTTTTAATTTAGGGAGAGCCCAAGTCAATGCATTGAAACAAAAACAAAATGTTCTCTGAGAACTGGCAGAATATTAGAGAAACTCTTTGGTTAATCCCTACTCAGATCTCAAAAAAATATTTTGCTCAATTGTGCCATTACAAACCTATACAATTTGCATATCAGGCTGATCCCACCCATATTGTACTGATGTTTCAAATTCCAGGATTTGGTACAAATTCCCAAGCTTTGCTGCATCTGTCAGGAACCAACAAAACAGGAAGGGACTCTTGACGGACAACCTTGAAAATCTCCTTTAACTTTCTTTAGTACTGTTAAGTTTATTTCGTAAAGATTACTACATCAACTACATTGTAAACTCACAGAAACACTAGCTATCATGCATAGAAGTATTTGTGTGCAAAAGGCAAAAAAAAAAAAAATGGACTGTCTCCCCCCCCTGAAAAATTTGTATTTCATAAAGATAGAATCTTTGTCCAACAAATTCCCTGTTATCTGTACTGACACTGCTGCCCACACTGGATTTCTAGCCATTTTCAAGAATAACTGGTTCTGTGAAATATGGCCCACAGAGGCACAGTGCCTACTCTTTTTTAGTTAAACTTCAGCTCTCTTTAAAGTATACCCCATTGTGGCCCCTGCACATGCCTGTAGGTCTCTATGGAGGGGGATATCTGTCAGATTTTACTCTGAAAACACAGCAGCATTTGAATTTATAAGTAAAGGTTGGTCCTCCTCACTAACAAAAGATAGAATCTCTATGAAATTCTAATTTTGAGTGTTGTAATTTCACTGCAATTCCAACCCAGTCAAAAGAAATAGAGAGACAACGTGAGGACTACATTGTCTCTGTATTTCTCCTCTGCCTAACTTTCTTAGACTCCAGGCAGGGTTAGAGTTAATTCCGACAGCTGTCACCAGTGACGGCGGCCGGGAATTGGCTCTTTTTATGGAGGACCTCGCAGGATCCTTCTTAGACCTCAGTGCATGCGAGAGTACAGAAATGAAGAGGAACATGATGGCAGCACCAGTGAGGGACAGGTTCAGGAGAGTAAATATGGTAAAAATAGTTTATTAACCCCTTAACGCTGTTACGTCGTTCTATGCCGTCCCGCATTAAATGGGCTTTAAAGCCGTTGTGGCGGCATAGAACGCCATAACGGCTTTTAGCCCCAGGAGGTGAGATTTATTTACCTCAGCCGCGATCCTCTTCGGGAGGATTGCGTGACAGCCCAGGCAGCCCTCCCACAGCAAATGTGGCCCCCTATAGCTGGCTGTGGATCTGCCAGCAGGGGGGCTGTCTGAAATGTCACAGTCCCCCTGCTGGCGGGTAGTGTAAAAAAAAAAAATGATTAAACATGTTTTAAAATAAATTAAATGTATTTTATATATAAATATATATATAATATATACATCTTATATATATGTAACGTGATACATAATGTATTTTAATATTAATATAAGTACATATATTAGTATTAAAATACACTTAGAATGATGATATATATTATATATATTTTATATTTATATATACACGTATAATTACAATAATAAAACAAACATTTTTTAAAAATTCAAATAAATTATATATACATATGTAATTTCATTCTAACTGTATTTTGTTATTAATATATAGGTAACAAAATACACTTAGAATGACATTCTATATCTATCTATATATAAAATACAAATAACTGTGTATATATATATACACAGATATATAATTACATAAATAACTACATAAGTGTACACGTAGACTTCAAATACATATATATGTATATATATTAAAATTCTACGTGTATATTTAAGTAATATTTTAACATAATTATGTGATTTAATTAGTTAAAATTTGATTGACATGCCTGACAACCCAGGCAAAAAGTGCAGAGAATTTGAATTGCAAGCACTATATTTAACCCTGTAACTTTCCAAGATACCATAAAACCTGTACATGGGGGGGTACTGTTTTACTCGGGAGACATCACTGAACACAAATATTAGTGTTTTAAAATGGTAACTTGTATTACATCAATGATATTTTTAGTAAAAGTGAGGGTTTTTGCATTTTTCACACATGCACGGCACTTTTACTGACGATATTATTGTTGTAATACAAGTTACCATTTTGAAACCCAAATATTTGTGTTCAGCAAAGTCTCAGGAGTAAAACAGTACCCCCCATGTACAGCTTTTATGGTGTTTTGAAAAGTTAGAGAGTCAAATCAAAGGCTTGCATTTCATTTTTTTCACATTAAAATTTGCCAGATTGGTTATGTTGCCTTTTGAGACCGTATGGTAGCCCAGGAATAAGAATTACCCCATGATGACATACCATTTGCAAAAGTAGACAACCCAAGGTATTGCAAACTCGGTATGTCCAGTCATTTTTAGTAGCCACTTAGTTATAAACACTGGCCAAATATTAGTTTTTTGCTTTTTTCACACAAAAACAAAAATGAACGTTAACGTTGGCCAGTGTTTGTGACTAAGTGGCTACTAAGAAAGACTGGACATACCCCACTAGCAATACCTTGGGTAGTCTACTTGTGCAAATGGTATGCAATCATGGGTGTAAATCTCATTCCTGGGCTACCACAGGGTCTCAAAGGTAACATTACGAATCTGGCAAATTTCAATGTGAAAAAACTGAAAAATGGAATGTGCTATATTTGACCCTTTAACTTTCCAAAACACCGTACAAACGGTTAATGGGGGCTAGTGTTGTACTTGTGAGACTTTGCTGAATCCAAATATGTGCTTTTTCTGCAGTAAAAGCTAACAGTATTATGACATTTACAGCTAAAATGTGAGGCGGAACTACAATTTTTTTTAAAAAAATTTAAAATTTCTCACAGTTTTAAATTTACGTTTCATATATAAATATTTGAAATGAAATGAAAGCCCTGTTTCTCCTGAAAAAAATTATATATAAGAAGTGTGGGTGCATTTAATATGAAAGAGGTGAATTACGGTTGAACAGACATATAGCGCAAATTTCAGTTTTTGTTTACATTTTGTTTTGATCAGAACGTGTACTATTGACTCCGTCCTGAAAGGGTAAAGGCACCAATTATATCTATGTCTATTTTTGTGGTGTGCCAAAACCGTTCGGGTGGGCTTGTAAAAAGAGGGCTTAATAAAGGAAGCGCTGGGTTAGCTGAATCAGGCAATAGCGGCCCAGAGGAAGTGGAGGCCTGTGTATTTATAGGCTAGGTAACTCTTCCCACAACTACAGGCTGAGCCTTCCTATATGTGGTTAGAGACAATAAGCCAAGTTATAGTAGTGGTGGTGTAAGCTGGTTGTGGTGTGCTGAAACAGACGTTCTGGTAGGCATGTAATAAAAAAAGAGGGCAACAAGTTTACCACTTGAATACGTGTTAACATTATGTAATATATACTTTAAATTCCTGCCTCAATTCACTCTCCAGTTGAGGGGTGCATTTGGTGTATGCAGATGATCTCCCGCATTCCAACCGTTGATGTGTACTGGGATATTCCACTAGAGACTGCAGAAGCAGCGCCTATTCTAAAAAAAATTTATCTGAAAATGTTGAAGGCTGTATTGAAGTAGTTTTATGGTGGTGTGGGCAAATTTAAGGTTGAGTTGGCCGCCATGGGGTGTGCTTGGAAGAGTACCCAAAATTGTGATTGAGAGAAGGTTTTGGCTGCTATGTTGCAACGGCCTGGTATATGTATACGGGGTAAGGTAAGATTGCTGTGTTGCTGCAAGTCAAAGTCCTAATTATTTTCATTATTGTTAGTGAGGAGGACCAACCTTTATTTATAATTTCACATGCTGCCAAGTTGTCAGAGTAGCATTTGACAAATGTCCCCCTCAATAGAGACCCACAGGCATGTGCAGCGGCACATTAGGGTATACTTCAAAGAGCTGAAGTTTACTTAAAGAAGGAAGGCCATATGTCACAGAACCAGTTAATCTTGAAAATGGTTACAAATCCAGTGTGGGCAGCAGTGTCAGTTCAGATAACAGCACAAGTCATCCTGAGGAGTGGCCACTGGAGGTGTCCCTAGGGGGCAATGTAAACACTGCCTTTTCTATAAAAAGGCAGTATTTGCATGAAAATGCCTGCAGAGAATGATTATACTCACCAGAACAACTACATAAGCTGTAGTTGTTCTGGTGACTATAGTGTTCTTTTAGATTGTGTTGCCAGTAGTTAGAATACATATCTGGTTTTAATACATGTTATGTAGTTTTGATTGTAACAGTTTTACAGAAAACTTATTTATGGTGTCTAGAAATAACCACTAGATATCACTGTTTTTCTATAAAGAAAGATTATAGTACTTTGATCTAATTTCCAATTTTTCAGCTCCCATATATCTGCATTCAAAGGGTGAAATTTCTAATTGGTGAATTGCTCAGCTTAATCAGGGAAATATGACAGGATGTGTCAATTCAAAAAGTGAGACACAAAAAAATATAAAAAATATATATATATATATATATAACAGTAGATAGTCCTTGCACTCAGGCTATAGC